TACCTCCAAATGGAAGGTATTAGTAATACATCTTATAATATCATGTAGGAGGTATAACTAATCCATCAATTAGTTATACAAAGACCCAATTCCCTACCGAACATAGTTCTAAATAATAACATACATATTATATGGACTATTTGATTTAATGCGGCCTACCAAACGACCCCTAAAAACATATATAATTGTTTACATACAAATTTAGAAATAATATAAAAAATTATAAATACAAAATCAACTAATCTTCACCTTGGCCTTTATGATGTTTATCGAAATCTTCAACACCCAATTTTTTTTAATTAATAGTGTCTTCACCTTACATTGCTATCTTGAACTTGAATGAGGATAGAATCATGAAGAAAGTTAGATCTCATCTTTTAATCTATTTTAACCGTAGAACCAATATTTTTGTAGTAAAAATCTCTACAAAAATTGACTGAAAATGTAATGAAACTGATATACCATGGTTTCATGGCATTTTTAATGCTTTTTCTTAAGTTTAGTGCGTGTCCAAGAGACTTTTTGTATTAATTTTTATGTAAGTTTCTCTTTATTTGCAGGAAATCTTTCTCAAAGATAAACGTGAAGGTTTTTGAGTAAGAAATGCAGAAAAGTACCACCTACGGAACTTGTGACGGTCCGTCGAGCCCATGACGGTCCATTGGGGGCATCCTAGTGAAGCTGCTGAAGGAAGATGGGGAAGTCTGACCAAGTGTGGCGTTATGGAGAGCGTGACGAACCGTCGTAGCCATGACGGTCCGTCGTTATGGTTCGCCATAAAGGTCAGAGAAGTAGTCCCAGTACCCAAATTATAAGAGTTCAAGTGTTATGGAAAGGAAACCCTCGACGGAACATTGTGCGTCTGACGATCCGTCTTACCTGCCATCGAGAATAATGAAGAGAGCAGCAGAAGAATTTACGAAGTATGGGATGACGGAGTCCATGACGGCTTGTCTTGACCATGACGACCCGTCGCGGGCTCCGTCGATCCAGCCACATTTTGACAGATTTCCAGTAAATAGAGTCCTTCTTTGATTAGGTTTTTGTTTTTTATAAATAGTTCAAAAAACCTCATTTTTGTGGTTAGACTCTTGATTATTAGATTCTCTTATAGTTAGACTCATGATTACTTTATCTTCTTTTGTGGATTAGACTTTGTGATTATTATTACACTTTTGGAGAATCTTTAGTCTTTGATTAATTTCAGTAATTGATTGTTGGTGATTTTGTCGATTAAGCAAGTAAATTTCTGGATTTTATTCTTTCTCATTGAAGTAAATGCATGAATTCTTATATTACATATTTGAATATTGTGATTATGGCTGTGGGTAATTAAACTCCATAACTAGGGTTGTGGGAACCATGGGCAAAGAATAAGATAAAATCCAACTAAAATAACAATTCTAGAATAGTGTCTTGCATGTATTAATAATTCTTTCGCTTAGAAGTCTTTTGAACGGATGGACAACGTTAGAACTCGCCTTAATGATACTTGGCGGACCAAGGAGGTAGATAATAGGAAAAAAATTATCCTACATAGATTTAGTGTATACCATCTAGTAGGCTAGTATTTATTGGTACGAGGTAATAACTTAGTCAAATAGTGAATATAATGCTTAATATGAGGTAAAGGTAAGGGTTAGTATAACAACACACGTAGCCGGACCAAGGTGCGGAGTGAAATTCTCTAGATGCCGGAACAAGGATTAAGAAATACATAACTTATCACATTGCATGCAAGATACTAGGAAAGAATTGTGATAGTTAGAATTATCAAGTTAGAAATATGTGGGGAACACGTAAATCCTAGTTACTTTTATTAACTTATTTAACTCAAACATTTGAATTTGTTAGTTGTCTACTTTGATTTAGCTAATTATTTGCATTCATTTAGAAATAAAACCCCCCCTTTTATTGTCTTTCCTTTCTAAGGAAATAATTGACTAAATAATAGTAATGATAGATTGAAGTTAAGTCTGAACTATTTTCCTCGTGGGAACGATCCCAACCTCATTAGTTGGGTTCTTTACTTGATACGACCACTTTACTTCTTATTTGAGAAGTAAGTTTGAGCGTATCAAATTTTTGCGCCGCTGCCGGTTAAAATAGATTTTAGATTAACTTAAACTTATTACTAAAAGTAGTCAATATTTTCTTGATTTTACTTTGTTTATTGTTTTTTGATTCTTCCAAAACTATCTTTCTTGTATCCCAAATACACGGAGAAGAAGAGAACCCTTGTTTCCCTACGATCACAAATTAGAGCATACACTACACAACATGAATTGAAACTTGGGTATTAATGATGATGATCCAAACCAGAACCTCCCAGCTCCGGTTGATGTTCATGATTAGTTATTACCTGATGCTCTTGGTGAAAACCAACATAGGGGACAGAATCCCGCTCTGCGTCCCCAAGAATACTACAGAGGCTATGACAATATAGCGAACTCCTATGGGCCACTTGTATTTCTCCCTCTACCACAAGGTCACACCTTTGTGATAACTAGTAGCCTGATGCAAAAGCTCAGTGCCAGAGGTTTGTTCTCAGGGCTACCATATGAGGATCCACATGCCCATATAGCTAAGGTAAGAGTAGTGTGTAAAAGCTGTGTAGGGAGGCCTGACTTGGACATGAATGTTATAGGGCTAAGAGTGTTTCCTCTCTCACTGACGGGAAAGGCTGCTATTTGGTCCACTGAGCTCCCTTATAACTCAATTTTCACATGGAACCAACTAAGGAATGTTTTCTTAGCACGCTACTACCCCGTGTCCAAGAAAAAAAACAACAAAGACAGAGTGAACAACTTTATGGAACTACCAGGAGAGTCACTTAGTAGTTCTTGGGATAGATTCACCTCATTTTTTAGAAGCGTCGCAAATCACCGCATAGATGATGAGTCACTGAAGGAATAATTCTATCGGGGACATGATGATAATAATAAAGCGGTGTTGGATACTATAGCGGGTGGTTCCTATGGGGAGTGACCTTATGCAGAGATTGGTGAAAAGTTAGAGAAAATCTCCCAGAATAATAAAGCTTGGAGTAATAGGAAGTCTGTACTGGGAGAAATACCTTCGCTGTACAATCCACTCAAAACCAGCCACAGATGAGATTCATGAAGAGATGGATCAGATGAGAACTGAGCTTGGGTTGGTATTAAAACATATCAGTGGGGTGCAGAAAAAATAAATGCAGTTAACTACTTGTCTAAACCACCACCACCAAATGATGAATGCTATCATGCGAAGGAGTCCTATGCAGTAAATGAGTAGACGGGAGGTTTCCAACCGAGTGCCCAAGGCTCAAATAAGGAGAATTGGTGCCAAGGTTAAGGAAACCAAGGTCGGATCTATGGTAACTATAACCGCGAGTGTCATTATGTCTGAGATGGAAACTACAACCGCGAAAACAACTTCAACAAGGGTAACTATGGTAACAGAAATGATAGAAATAGATCCTATGTCCCTCCTCAAAATCAAGTTACTCCTAGGGATGGTGGAGATAGATTGGCGCGAGTTGAGGATTTGTTGCACAAAATGATGAGGAGGTTCAATGCTAATGATGATCACATTAAATAGTTAAGGACTTATTTAGCGGGTATTGGGCAGAAATTCGATGCACATGCAATATCGATTAAGCCGATTGAGTTGAAAATGGCTCAATTATCTGTGACTTTGAACACACGGCAACCGAGCACTCTACCTAGCAACACTGTCCAAAATTATAAAAATGACGGACACTGTATAACAATCACTACTCGGGGTGGTAAGCAGACTATTGACCCACCTATGTCGTCTAATTAGGAAAAGGTGAAAAAATAATGATAAGGTGGTAGATAGTAGTGGTGAAGTAGAATATAACACTGGAAAAGTTGTTGAAGTGCCTATAAAGGTAATTCCCATGCCTAGACCCCCCTTTCCTCAGAGATTAGTGAAAAAGACCGAGGATTGTAAATATTGACGTTTTATAACAATGTTGAAGCAGCTTTCTATCAATGTCCCTTTGGTAGAAGCTCTAGAACAAATGCCCGGTTATGCCAAGTTGATAAAAGATTTGGTTACAAATAAAAGATCAGTCACTTTCAAGGATGATGATAGAATACAACATTGTAGTGCTATTGCTACAAGATCTCTCGTGCAAAAGAAAGAAGATCCGGGTGCATTCATTATTCCTTCTACAGTAGGGTCATTACATTTTGCGAAAGCATTATGTGTACTTGGGGCAAGCATAAATCTCATGCCCCTCTAGATTTACAAGAAGTTGGGTTTAGGTTACCCAAAGCCCACTGCGATGCGGCTACTAATGGCCGATCGAACAGTTAAAAGGCCTATAGGGATACTTCACGATGTGCTAGTAAAAGTGGAGTCTTTCATATTTCCACTAGATTTTGTTATCTTTGATTGTGAAGTCAATTTTCAAGTGCCTATTATTCTTGGGAGGCCATTCCTTGCTACGGGTAAAGCCTTAGTTTATATGGAAAAGAGACAGATGAAATTTCGATTGAACAATGAAGAAGTGACCTTTAACATTTGTAGGTCCATGAGGCAGACTGGTGAGCTCCAATTGGTATCTGCTATATCCTACAAAGAAAAGATGAAGAAGGATTATGACCTAAAAAGTGAAAAACGAGAGTTTATGGTTAGGGATTTGGTGCTTTTAGACAGTTCTAGATTGCGTTGGCTCCCGGGCAAGCTCAAGTCCAAATGGACTAGCCCTTACTTGATTACCCAATTATTCCCTCATGGAGCAGTTGAGTTAGAAACCAAGGAGGGAGTGCGGTTTAAGGTGAATGGAGAACGAATAAAACCCTATTTTGGGCATACTGAATCGGCAAATGAAGTGATCGAGGCATACCATCTTGATGAAGGCTGAGTAATCAAGTGTCCTCAGTCGTGCCGCTACGTTAAATCAGGCGCTTGTTGGGAGGCAACCAAATACTTATAGTTTTTCTTTCTATTAATGGTAGCATTTTCTACTAATGGTTTTAAATTTGCAGGCACATCACCAGGAAATTCTACAAAATCACTTTGCAGCAGTCACTAACGGACCCATTTACAGACCGGCACGAACGCAACGGAACGTCGCATGAATCCGTTGTGCCAGGTAGGTCTTTTACTTATTTTCAAAACTAGGGCACACACGAAGTAACTAACGACGAACCATCGCAATTGAGATGGACCGTGTTCGGGGAGTCATCGCATCATTAATGACCATACCCGACCCGACCAGGTTAGAAAATTAAAAAATTTCAACCTATAAGACCCCCCACCCCTTCATTTGAATGGTTTCTTTCCCTCTTTCTCACATTCCCTCCCTCTTAAACTTCCAACTTCCTACCTCTGTTTTAACTGATCATTTCCCCAAGTTCCCCGATTCCTAAAATCCACTCTTTACTAGTCGGAGTCTGTTGTTGTGGTTCTCTTCTTGATAATCAAGTTCCTTTCTCGCTTGTTTTTCTTAAATTCTTAGGTATGTATCTCTGATTTCTACCCATTAACATTCATTTTTATTTATCAACCAGTATTATCCTATTTCTTTTTATGAGTTCATTCTTTAATACATATTCTGTCTGACCTAGGTTGAGAATACTTAAAATTGCCTTGTTAAAACTCTAGAAATAGGTGCTTTAGCATTGCTGGTTTACTAGGTATTTGGGTTAAACACATATAGGATAAAACAGTAAAAACTCCATTTGGGTCATAGGGGATGAATGTGGCATCCCTTTTTCTCTCACTGTATCACAGAACGAGACCCCGAAGACGGACCTTCATACCCACGCCGGACCTTCATATGGTCCGCCGCAAAATCCCTATCACCCCACTGTCCAATTTTCTCCAAGTGTCCACCAACGGACACATGTGACAGACCGTCGTTCCCACGACGATTCATCCTGCACAACCGTTATGGTTGCCAGAGACCCGATTTCTAAGGGTCTCTCACTTGTTCTAAGTGTCCTCTTATGGACATATACGACGAGCCGTCACACCCTCGACGGTCCATCCTGCACACCCATTCTGGTTGTCAGAGACCCTGTTCCTAAGGGTCTCCAACTTTTTCCAAGTGTCCTCTTATGGACATCTATGATGGACCGTCATACCCTCGACGGTCCGTCGTGTATAATCATCATGACGGTCAGAGTCCCCTCTACTAAAGGTCTCCATACTTTTTCCAAGTGTCCTCTGACAAACACCTACGACGGACCGTCATACCCTCGACGGTCCGTCCTGCACATACCGACATGACAGTCAAAGACCCCTCTCCTAAGGGTCCCCATTCTTTATCTAAGTGTCCCACAATGGACATCGATGATTGAGTCATCATCACAACGGTCAATCCTTTTTATCCGTCATAACTGTCAGAGACTTTCCTTCAGGGGTCTCCACATAAACATAGTTTTATGTAAGACACAACCGACCCCATGATGGTCCGTCGTACTCACGATGAGCCATCACCTGGTCCATCGTGTGTCACTATTACTATAGAAATGTCATTACATATTAACTCTTTTATTTCTTTTGTGTCGTTTTGCTTGTCTTTTTTGCTCATTCTAGTACTAATATTTATTCCCTATAGGTACTATCTCTAATGGAACCAAAAAAGGATCGAGTCTATGAATGTGGGCGATCAAAGTCTGTTGCTCCGTCTGCCCGCCTGGTCATTGTCTCTAATGATGAGCGTGATCCCGAGTACGTTCCACCAGGCACTTCCACCCCATCCCGAGCAGCACGTGCTGCCAGAGCCACACCAAAAAAGTGTATTTCGGCGTAGTCACTGCCTCCCTGTCTGATGAGGAGCGCAAATTGACCGTCACACCTTCTGGGTCAGCTACTCATGACGAAGGAGCATCTGGCACCTTAGGAGTTTTGTGGTGGGAGGAAGCCTCCGGATTTGCTAAAGTTTCTGCACCGGCCACAACTGTACATCCTGCCTCATCTGCTGAGGCTTACAGTTCTGAATCCACACCCAGCTCACCGACTCGTGCTCTTACCTCGGTCTCCGATCAGCCCAATCGGTGGTGTGTCGATGGGCAGTATCAATTTTATTCAGACGCAAAGTTTTTGAATGAGAAAGAAGTCATGACACGGACCCTTACATTGGACAGTCGGGTCCTTACGGGAAGTCTCCTGACTATGCCATAGATTCACAATCTCTTCACCAGACACCGACTAGAGTGGACAATGCGTTCGTTGGGCCGTTATAGTGAAGAATTGGTCCGAGAGTTCTTCGCCTCTAACGTGGCTACTCTAAGATCACAGATTGATAGGCGGGTTGCCCCTTCCAGACAGGCCGCACTGGAGCATGTCCGAGTACGTAGCATTTAGGTTGATATCTCCCTGCCTGCCATCCGCCGGTATCTATACGGCGAGGATGTTGATGCCAATCGGACCCCTCTCACCGCTGAGTTTGACTACAGGTGGCATATTGTCAAAGATGGCCAATTCTTGCATGAGCCATCGCTGAGAGAGACCAGCAAGAGGTGGATAGCACTGCACTTTTCTGTTCATTGAGAGGGATTTTAAGGTCACAACTACTTACCCTTTCCCATGCATGATATTTTCTTTATGTAGGTCCGCAGGTGTGCCGATCTGGCACATTAATCAGCTCAAGACCCCGATGGGCATTGTTAATATCGGCTTCATCAGGGATGAGGCCAATTAGTTGGCTCCACGTAGAGGGCCCCGTCCATAGTTGCCACCAATTGGTGACAATCTGGCTGATACGGTAGCACATGCTCGCATGGCTACGCAGGCTGCTTCACTGACACTACCCCGGTCGAGTCTATCCCGGGTAATAACACTACACCGAGCTCCTCTCGCTCAGCCCCTTTCCTCGCTCTTGTCCCGCTTGATAGGGTCCAGATAGTAGAGGCACAAATGGCTACACTTCTTCATCACATCCAGCCTTGGATGCAGATCGTCAGAGGTCTATTGCTGAGTCGAAAGAGCTCTTGGAGCGGAGAATGGTCCAGCATACAGAGCGGAAGATCGCTGGGGTTCATCAGCGCTTCGACTCTTTTGAGTTGCGGGTGCTAGCGCAACCAGCCCCTAGATGGATCTGTCGACCCTTCAGGATGCGGTCGAGAGTCTTCGAGTAGACATTGATATCATCCTAGATTCTAGGGTGCCTGAGTCTGAGGCCCCTTCTGCAGAGCGTGGTGAGTACACAGTGATGGTGTCCTTATTCACAACTTATGAGATTCTGCGGCCTCCCCCTAGAGAGCATGACAAGAGGCATAGGTGTCGTGAGGAGGATAAGGCTAGAGCACCGAAGAAGGAGTGCCGTGAGATGGCGGCTGTGAGAAGAGACTCACTTGCTGATGAGGAGGCGCATTGGATGAGGGTCGTAGAGTCAGCTGTTGGGGCATCTAGCTCAAGAAATACGGAGATAGTGGGAGGCACTGCTGATAGTGTTGTTTCTGATAAGGACACTACTGAGGGTGTCCAGATTACAGAGGTAGTGGGTTCCGGGAAACCAGACCCACCAGCTTGCTGATCGTCGGTGGTTTGCACGCCCCAGGTTTGCTTCACCTACCACTCTTGTATTTCAATTTTTTATGCATTGGGGACAATTGCATGTCTTTTTGTTGGGGGTGAGGTAAATGGAAAGTGAGTGCTAGGGTGAAGTCTGAGTAGCCCAATTCACTATCCTCTTTTGGGGTTTTCTTGCCTGTGTTCTTTTTTACCAAGAGATTGATTATTTTTCTGTTGAACCGGCATGTCTATATCTTGTGTACAAAGTTTAACTCTGAAGCATGATGGCTAAAATGATATCCTGATAAAATGAAAATGATGCATGACTAGACATAGTAATTTATAAATGTGTGGCTCTAAGCATGACATAGAGGTACACCACTGCATTACCCTAAGTCTAAAATTCGAACTAGGTGTCTGATAATCTGGAAGAGTAATGAGATGTCATGTGAGTGTGAGGAAGATTTGAATAGTCCACTATTTGTATTGAGATAGAACTTGTCTGGTTAGTCCTGCTAAAAGTAAGTTGTAATAGACAATTAGGAAAGGATCATAGGCCTTTGTTGAATATAGCCCATTTTTAGCCTAAATAAAAAAACAAATGAAATTTATCCTTCTTTGATCCAAATGATTTGAGCTTAAACTAGACCTTTTTTTTCACCCCAACTGATCTTTTCTGGGAATAATGTGTTGCCTGGTCCCTCCTTGGAATGTGCACCTCAGTTTATGCCAAAAGCATAAGTTCAGGGTAGCTAATGAAGTAAACAACCTTTTTATGGCCGTGACCCAACTTTGGTATTGTATACTTTGACTCATGGCAAAGCCATGAGTTGAGGGTGGATATTATGAGGAATGCTATAGAAAGTGGTGTTTAAAAAATAAAGAGAGAGAAAGAACAAAAGTAAAGTTACTCAAGAATCAGTTAAAAGAAAATTGAAATAAATTGATAAAAAATTAAAAAAAATACAAAAAATTCAAGCAGGAAAAGAAGGGAGTCACTTACACAAATGAAGAAAGAAGGGAAAATAGCAAGGTGAAAGGATATGAGAAACTGGGCGAAATAAAATGATAAAAAGTGGTATGTTTAGCCTATATGTCAAGGATGGCAAAAAGTCACTAAAGTATACCTAAATATACCCTACCTGACCCTGAGCCTATGTTACAAGCTAAGAAAGTCCTATCGTGATCCAAAAAGCTATATAGCGAACTTAAAGTAGTGAAAATAAGGGCAAGCTTATGGCAATATGTATGAATAAGTCGTGAATCTATTCTGACAGTGAGTGTTGAAAAGTAATCCTTATACTCAAACTAAAATGATTTTGTGAAAAATGAGGATATTGTTGTGAAATGAGGACACTAGTTACAATAACAAAAATATTAGCACCTCGATGAGAAATTAAAGAGGATAGGTGTTAGTGCGTGGTGAGTCTGTGTCATGGTTTGATTCCACATAATTCAAGCCTAATAGAGATAGCACGCATAAATATGATGAGACTGATCGGGATTAATAGTCAAATGATTGTGAAACGTAAAACATGGATACTATTGTACAAAGATTTTGTATTGAGTCATAGTGCGTCGCTTGAGAACAAACAACGAATTTAAGTTGAGGGTGTTGATATACCGTGGTTTCTGAGTATTTTTAATGATTTTTCCTTAAGTTAGTGTGTGTCCAAAAGTCTTTTTGTATTAATTTTTATGTAAGTTTCTCTTTATTTGTAGGAAATCTATCTAAAATATGAACACGGAGGTTTTTGAGCAAGAAATGCAGAAAAATTACCACCTACGGAGCTTGTGATGGACTGTCGTGCCTGTGACGGTCCGTAGGTGGCATCGTAGTGAAGCTGCTGAAGGAAGATGAGAAAGTCTGACCAAGTGTGGGGTTGCGGAGTGTGTGACGGACTGTCGTAGCCATGACAGTCTGTCCTGCTGGTTCGTTGTGAAGATCAGAGAAGTAGTCCCAGTACTCAAATTCAAATAGTTCAAGTGTTATGAAAAAGAGACCCTCGACGGACTGTTGTGGCTGTGAAGATCCGTCATACCTGCCGTCGAGGATACTGAAGAGAGCAGAAGAAGAATTTGCAATGTATGGGACGACAGAGTCCATGACGGCCCGTCGTGACCATGACGACCCGTTGCGAGGTCCATCGACCCATCCACATTTTGACTAATTTCCAGTAAATAGAGTTCTTCATTGATTAGGTTTTTGTTTTTTATAAATAGTTCGAAAAACCTCGTTTTTGGGGTTAGACTCCTGATTATTAGGCTCTCTTATGTTAGACTATTGATTATTTTAGCTTCTTTTGTGGATTAGACTTTATGATTATTATTACACTATTGGAGAATCTTAAGTCTTCGATTAATTTCAGTAATTGATTGTTGGTGATTTTGTTGATTAAGCAAGTAAATTTTTGGATTTTATTCTTTCTCATTGAAGTAGGTGGCATGAATTCTTATATTACATATTTGAATATTGTGATTATGACTGTCGGTAACTAAATTCCATAACTAGGGTTGTGGGAACCATGGGCGAAGAATAAGATAAAATCTAACTAAAATAACAATCCTAGAATAGTATGTTGCATGTATTGATAATTTTTTCGCTTAGAAGTCTTTATAACGGATGGCCAACGTTAGAACTCGCCTTAATGCTACTTGCCGGATCAAGGAGGTAGATAATAGAAAAAGAATTATCAACATAGATTTAGTGTATACTATCTAATAGGCTAGTATTGATTAGTATGAGGTAATAACTTAGTCAAATATCGAATACAATGCTTAATATGAGGTAAAGGTAAGGGTTAGTATAGCAACACACGTAGCCGGATCAAGGTGCAAAGTGAAATTTCCTAGATGCCGGACCAAGGATTTAGAAATACATAACTTATCACTTTGAATGCAATATAATAGGAAAGAATTGTTATAGTTAGATTTATCAAGTTAGAAACCTGTAGGGAACACGTAAACCCTAGTTACTTTTATTAACTGATTAAACTCCAACATTTGAATCTGTTAGTTGTACTACTTTGATTTAACTAATTATTTTCTTTCATTTAGAAATAAAATCCCACCATTTATTGTCTTTGCTTTCTCAAAAAATAATTGACTAAATAATAGTTATAATAGATTGAAGTTAAGTCTGAACTATATTCCTCGTGGAAATGATCCCAACCTCATTAGTTGGGTTCTTTACTTGATACGACCACTTTATTTCTTTTTTGAGAAGTAAGTTTGAGTGTACCAGAAACTTGCATAAAAATCGAGAATAATAATAGAAAATATGTAATATGAACAATGCGAAATTTAAACGGTGACACTGAAAACAAATCAAAACAAATTTAAAAATCTAATCGAAATTAACTTAATCAAATTCAAATTATGATGAAACAATGTTTACTTGATTGTTTATCGACCTAATTCCCTACCAAACATAGTACTATATAATAAAATACAAATTATATGAAGTATTTGTTTAATGTAGCCTAACAAACGACCCCTAAAATCATACTTAATTGTTTAAATACAAATTTAGAAATAATACAAAATTTTAAAAGAATTTATAAATACAAAACAAACTAATAGTAAATTGTTCTTCACCTTGGTCTTCATCATGTTTATCAAAATCTTCAACACCCAATTTTTTTATTTATTAATAGTGTCTTTGCCTGACATTGCTATCTTAAACTTGAATGCGGGTAGAATTATGAAGAAAGTAAAATATCATCTGTTGAGCCATTTTAACCGCAGAGCCTACATTTTTGTAGTAAAAATCTGCAAAAAAATGACTGAAAATATAAACAAACTTGCATAAAAATCGAGAATAGTAATGAAAAATACGTAATATGAACAACGTAAAATATAAACAATGATATTGAAAACAAATGAAAAGAGATTTAAAAATATAATCGAAATTGCCTTAATCAAATTCAAAATTTGATGAAATAAAGTTTACCTAATTGTTTATCGATCAAGAAAATCCTTGAATTAATGCATATATTTTTTTGAAGAATCAAATTGTGAATAACTTTTATTTGAAGAATGAAGAGAATCCGGTTACTTCACAGGTGGAAATTTTTTTTAGAGAATAACGTGAAAAGGGGAGAAACTTGCAAGATGAGGGGAGAATATTGTATTTGTGTTTTATTTTGAATTGGTATTGGTTAGAGTTTGGTCGAATTATGGACTCTTTTAATTAAAAAAAAATCTCAAAAATATTAAAATGTAAATGCAAATTATTTTTGAATATATTGAAATGAAGTTTTAAACAAATATTTTAAAGTGTTGTTATTTTGACTAAATATGTTATATATTATGACTATATAGGTAATAAAACGTATATCATCTTGTGACATAGAAAGTTATCTAAGACCTCTGTTTGGCGAAGAAATACAACTGCAATATGTTTTTAAGACTTTTTTATATTTATTTTTATTAATGTGCTATATCAAATATATTAATAATATCACTCATTTAACTCTTTGAATTGTACTAAATATTCAATATAAGAAGTAAGTGAATCTTTTTAAATACTCTAATATAAAAATCAGTGCTCTTTATTTTTATTATTACCACAATATTGAACTCAATGAAATGTTCATCCTTCCATTGACACGTATTGCTGAGTTCAATCATACTCACAGAGTGTCTCATGCTATAAAAACGATTGAGAAATTCATGTTCAAGGTGTTTCCAATCATCAATGGAACCAACCATGAGATCCGTATACCAATCGAAAGCATTTCCTTGCAAGAAGAGCACAAATTGTTTAACCAGATAATCTCCATATGTTCCAGCATTATTGCAGCTTCCATCAAAATGTGCAATGTCTTTCTTTGGATTTCTCTTACTATCGAATTGTTAAAATTTCGGATGTTGATAATCAGCAGGCATCTTCAAAAAAATCGATTTATAAAGTGTATTGCTTGGTATATGTAAACGATGACTTTGAAGGGACGTCACATTTTGAATTTGATAGTTCCCAATATGAAGTCTTTTAGTTAATGAATGGGAATTCTCCCTTCAGCAGATACTTGCAGTTCATCAACATGTGTTTGCTTTGTAGAGGATTCTTTTTTTTCTTGTACCATGGGGTGCTTTCCTGGTGCATGGCTTGAGACTCCGTCCATAACATTTTTAACCCTATCAGTTAGCTTAACAATTTGATTATCCTGATCTTGCAGATACTTTGTTAGACCTTTAATTGCCTTTGTCAAATTTGTGAATTGTACTTCAACAGTTGAGGTGTTAGTCATCATTGCTTATATTGCCATTATGGGTGATGGAGTAAACCACAGATTTTCCCTCAAACTGAAATCTAATTGGAACAACTTACGTGGAGTGACGGGGGTATATCTAGTGATCAAAACATGATCTTCATCTTGAATATTACGATCCTTGTTATTGAATGGACTGAGTTGGACCAATGTCTTTTCAACAATCTCAGTTATATTTCCCCCTTCTACTAATTCATTCGGATAGAATATTTCCTCCTTTGAAGATTGGAGATACATAATAGGAACTGATGTAGAGGAGGTTTGAAGTGTTTGTTGTCCTAGTAAGTTTGTTTTGTTCCTAGTGATGGGTCCCAAACATTCCATAGTAGCATCCAGTATATTCTCCACCGCAGAGGAAAACTTGGAAATGACAGTCTTAACAGCAATAGATTTGGAGCTGAACTTCTTAGAAGTCATCTCAGTGTTCTTGAAACTTGCTGATCGATGTAAAGAGATGAGAGGTAGAGATTATTCTATTGGGTGTGCCAAAATTTGTAAACAACATATTTTCAAGTCAAGAAAAATAAATAATCAAGACAGAAAAATAAAAGTAAAAAAATCTAGTATTTGATTTCAAAATATAGTGTGTGTTACAATCTCTATGATACTACTTTGATTTTCAAAATAATATGAAATGTATTGGACTTCAATTTGATTTAGAGTCAAGGGCTTGAATAACTTTATATTGAATCTTGAACTTTGAACTTGACTGTAAATTATTCATCAAGAACACTTGTATAGTTATGATGAATAATTAGCATGAACAAGTAACTTGATCTTGAATCTTGAACTTTGAAACTTGATTGCTTCAACTTTCACCTTGTAGAGAATTTGCACCTTTTGATCCATGCGCTCTCTTCTTGCTTCTTGTTCTTGAAAACGAACCCGCTTTAAGAAGAATTAGGACCCCTATTTTTAGTAGTAGGGAGTAGTCTACTGATGTGATTTGATTGGTCGGTTTGAACCGACCAATCACATTGCTCCCTAGAAAAGCTTTGATCTGATTGGTCACAACATGTCACACATACACATGTCGTTATTCTAGTGGCTCATTTGATTTGACTTGAATTGCCACATAACCTTTACATGTGGCATGATTTTAGTGGATTATTGAATTTATCTTAAATTGCCACATAACCTTGACATGACATGATTTTAGTGACTTATTTAATTTGACTTTGATTCCATATAACTTTGACACGTGGCATTGACTTTAGTAACTTATTTTGTTTGACTTGGATCGCCACATAACCTCAACTATTTTCTTGAATTTTATATAATGTAAATTAATTTATAGATTTAAATCCAATTAAATTTTAATGTTTACAATGACATTCTTAAAATCAATGATTTGAAATTTTCAAGAGATCTATGGGCGGAGTATAGAACACAACACTTGAAGGTTAAATATAAGACGCCCCAGCCAAATGAGCTGCAATGTTGTTGATGTAAAGCAATCTTTTAAAATTTTATCATTTTATATATTTTAGCCTTCCAATTATGTATAGGTATTTAATTATTTTATCCAATGAAATCGCATCAAGTAACACTCCTTAGATAAAGATAAATAATCCACACACAAAGGATAACTTGATGAAAAAAGTGCAAAAAATAAAACATACATGTAAGCTCGTTGATTAAATAAAAGAATAACAATTTTAATGGGGCTTCTTATGATATGACATTCACGATAACTTACGTTTGTTTTATAAGGATATTGGGAGAAGCCACACCTATCTTCCAAAATTAAGGATATTGTAATGTGCAAAAATTGAAAATAGTAACCGAAAATCCTATTGGCAACAACATTTGTTATATGATTGATTTTTATATTAAATCATGCATAACTCATAGCTAAACTATAAGCATTGTAATTTGATAATAAATTTTCTTCTCTTAAATAATGATTCTTAGTGTTTGTTTATTCAATTCTACAGTATAAATAAGGAAAAAGATTAGAAGAATAAGAAAAAAGCCCAAATAAATAAGAAAAAGATACATGTCAATGCTAGAAGTTGAGAGATGTCACGTCACTCTTTTCATATTTTGTTTTGTATATATCAATTATTTTTTCATAATATTACCATTCAAGATTGAACATTATGACACATATAATATAGTGTTGTTTTTAGTTATCATTAGATTTTTGTTAACATTCATATCGTACAAAAGTTATAACTACCTATTAGAAATGAAAAAAAATATAAATAAAAAAATATCTAAAATAAGATTAATATAATAAAATAACAAAACTAATAATTTAGTATAATGAAACAACCTCCATTTAATTATAATGTATATACTAATGACTTTATTTAAGTTATAAAGTTTATTTTTTCAATTGCTAATTGTTTGTTCTATTGGGTTTGAGAAGTTACCGGAATTCGAGGTGCCACCATGGTGTATTGGACTTGGCCCAGTAGGAGCTGTGCGCGTGGATTGAAAAGTTTTTAACTCCATCAAAAATCGAAAAATCTCTTTGACCTTTACCGATTTGGTTGAAATGTTCTCAATTCTAATACCTGCAACTTCTACTGATGTATTTAGAAGGAAAAGGACAACAATAGATACAAAAAGATGAAAATTACTCATAATGAAACTGAAAAATAATATGATTCTGCTTTTTATTTGTTAATTGCTTCTATGTTTTATTCAATTTATAGTGTTTCAAAATTTATTTACAAACACAATAAAATTAATAGACACAGATTTTCTTACCAAAAAGTATCAAATATGGTTAGTTACCTTAGTATTGAGATTTATGTTATCTTCAATAGATTAAATTGATATAGATTTCTTCCAAAAATAGTGGCAAATAAGACTAGTTCTCAATTATAATATGAGGGTGTGTTTGGTATAAAGGAAAATGCTCATTAATTTTCTCATGTTTGGCTGGGAAAAATATTTTGAAAATTATTTTCGAAATCAAATCATTTTCATCAAATATTAGGAAAAAGACATCCCTTTAAAACTTAAGGAAAAGATTTTCCAAAAAAGTCTCTTCCAAATGCGTATTAACTTTTTTTTTGTTGAGAAAATCATTTATTTTGTCCCTGCTCTAAAACCATCTCTCTCAACCACACCTCCCCCCCCCCCCCCCCATAAAAAAATAATTTGAAGCTTGTTTTTAAAGAAACGTTTTTAACTTTGATTTTTTACCACAACCTCACCCCTTCCCCTAGCCCCCTTCCACAACCACCCCCATAAAAAGTATTAAAAGTTCTTTTTAAAAGCTATTTGTAATTTCAATTTTAAAATTTTTACCCCCCACACCCTGACCTCGTCCCCCCCTCAGCCCCCTACCAGCCCTCCACATCTTTCAAAAAAAAATCAATTTTATTTTTAAAAATGCTTTCTACTACAAATTTTTTTCTACAAACCAACCAAACATGAGAAAATAAGTCAATAATCGACTTGTTTTCAAGGAAAACAGTTTCTAGAATAACATTTTCCATCTACCTATCCTTTCATCCATCCATCTATATATCCATCCATCTACCTATCCTTCCATCCATTATCTATCTGTCCATCAATCCATCTATATGTCTACCTACCTACCTACCTACCTATCCATCCATCCATCCATCTATCTATCCATCTATCTATCTATCTATAGATAGATAGATATAGATAGATAGATAGATAGATAAGTATGTAGGTAGACATATAGATGGATTAATGGATAGATAGATAGATGAATGGATAATATATCTATCTATCTATTATCTATCCATCTGTTTATCTATCTATCCATCCATTCATCCACCTATATATCTATTGATATATCTATCAGTCAATCAATCAATCT